ATTGGGTAATGTTGTCAACTCAGTTCATTCTGTAAATATTTAATGTCTGATGATAATCTACACCTATGCTTGCTGACATATAATTCCAGTTTACTTTGTTTGCTTGTTAATACAGATTTATGTTCAACATTCATTTGTATTTTAAGGTCTCTTGCTGGTTTAAAAGGCAATGAGAGAGCAGACGTTCTGGCTGGCAGTGCGACTCTGAAACGGGCCATCTATAGACAGGAGGGACATCATCAGTGCTATACGAGAGACTAAACGATTTTTAACTGAATAGACTATATATCATAGGTGTACCAGTTGGAGCCGTGAGACAGAAAAACCATGCGGAAGCCACCCGTCATTATATCAGAACAGAATAAGTGTTGTTAGCCTAAAACACTTGGAGACATACTCAGGAGGAGATAAGAGCACTTTTGGTCATGTCCGATGGGCGATGAAGATGATTTTTAAATGAACAATGAACAATGAACGTTTCTTGCTGTACCTACGTTGCACTTCTTAGTCACAGATATGTTGTGTTATGTCACTTCTCAAAATCAGATCTATTGCAACCCCACCCCTCTTCCAAACCCCGCTGAGTTTTTTTAGGTGTCTTATAACTGGTGAGTTTTATATAACGCTCATTACATGTTTAACTAAACACATATTTCTGATTCTTTCTTCTTATTGCACACTTTGTATGGTTTTGGTAATCATGACTGTGGAGAGCTCCCTATCTCGTCATCTGTCTGTCAGTCATCTCTGATTCAGGTACGCGCCCACGTCATGATTCAACAAGCCAACCCCCCCCCCCTCCCAGGGAACACCCCCTCCCCCCAAGGCAAGAAGCGGCAAGAAGGCGGAGGAATATTCTTAAATGTTTGAGAAGAAGTACTGACATCACAGAACAATGACATCACAAAACAAGGCATTGATATCACAGAAGAAGGCACGTACATCACAGAACAAGGCACATATCACAGAACAAAGCACTGTTATTACATATCAAGGCACTGACATCAGAGAAAAAGGCACTGAAATCACAGAACAAGGCACTGCCATCACAGAACAAGGCACTGATATCACCGAATAAGGCACTGAATAACATGACAAGGCACTGACATCACAGAGACATCACAGAACAAGGCACTGACATCACATAACAAGGCACGAACATCACATAACAAGACACTGACATCACATAAAAAAGGCACTGACATCACAGTACAAGGCACATATATACCAGAACAAGGCACTGATATCACAGTACAAGGCACTGACATCAGAGAACAAGACACTAATATCACAGTAAAAGGCACTGACATCACCAAACAAGGCACTGAAATCACGTAACAAGGCACTGACATCACATGACAAGGCACTGACATCACAGAGACATCACAGAACAAGGCAATGACATCACAAAACAAGGCACCGACATCACAGAACAAAGCACTGACGTCACATGACAAGGCAGTAAAATCACAGAGACATAACAGAACAAGGCACTGACATCACAGAACAAGGCACTTACATTACAGAACAAGGCAATGACATCAGAGAAAAATGGCACTGACATCACAGAACAAGGCACTGATATCACAGAACAAGGCACTGACAGCACAGAAAAGGCTCTGACATCACAGAACAAGGCACTGATTTTACAGAACAAAGCACAGATATCACAGAATAATGCACTGATATTACATATCACGGCACTGAGATCACATAACAAGGCACTGACATCACACGACAAGGCACTGAAATCACAGAGACATCGCAAAACAAGGCAATGACATCACAGAACAAGGCACTGACATTACAGAACAAGGCACAGATATCACAACACAAGGCCCTTACATCACAGAACAAGGCACTGACCTCACAAAACAAGGCACTGACATCACAAAACAAGACACTGAATCACATGACAAGGCACTGACATTACAGAGACATCACAGAACAAGGCACTGACATAAAAGAACTAGGCACTGACATCCCAGAACAAGGCAGTGGCATTACAGAACAAAGCACTGACGTCACATGAAAAATCAGTAAAATCAGAGAGACATAACAGAACAAGGCACTGACATCACAGAACAAGTCAGTGGCATTACAGAACAAAGCACTGACGTCACATGACAAATCAGTAAAATCAGAGAGACATAACAAAACAAGGCACTGACATCACATAACAAGGCACTTACATCACAGAAGAAGGCAATGATATCACATAAAAATGGCACTTACATCACAGAACAAGGAACTGATATCACAGAACAAGGCGCTGACAGCACAGAAAAGGCACTGACATCACAGAACAAGGCACTGACATTACAGAACAAGGCACTGACATCACAGAACAAGGCACTGATATCACAACACAAGGCTCTTACATCACAGAACAAGGCACTGACCTCACAGAACAAGACACTGAATCACATGACAAGGCACTGACATCACAGAACAAGGCACTGACATCACAGAACAAGGCACTGACATCACAGAACAAGGCACTGATATAACAGAACAAGGCACTGACATCATAGAACAACGCACTTACATTTCAGATCAAGGCAATGATTTCACATAAAAAGGCACTTACATCACAGAACAAGGCACTGATATCACAGAACAAGGCACTAACATCACAGGACAAGGCACTTACATCACAGATCAAGGCAATGATATCACATAAAAAGGCACTTACATCACAGTACAAGGCAATGACATCACATAACAAGGCACTTACATCACAGATCAAGGCAATGATATCACAAAAAAAAGGCACTTACATCACTGAACAAGGCACTGATATCACAGAACAAGGCACTGACATCACAGAACAAGGCACTTACATCACAGATCAAGGCAATGATATCACATAAAAAGGCACTCACATCAAAGAACAAGGCAATGACATCATAGAAAAATGGCACTGGCATCACAGCACAAGGCCCTTACATCACAGAACAAGGCACTGTCCTCAAAAAACAAGACACTGACATCACAGAACAAGGCACTGAATCAAATGACAAGGCACTGACATCACAGAGACATCACAGAATAAGGCACTGACATCACAGAACAAGGCAGTGACATAACAGAACAAGGCACTGACATCACAGAACAAGGCACTGACATAACAGAACAAGGCACTGACATCACAGAACAAGGCACTTACATCACAGAACAAGGCAATGATATATCAATAAAATTCACATACATCACAGAACAAGGCAATGACATCACAGAGAAGTGGCACTGACATCACAGAACAAGGCACTGATATCACAGAACAAGGCACTGATATCACAGAACAAGGCACTGACAGCACAGAAAATTCACTGACATCACAGAACAATTCACTGACATCACAGAACAAGGCACTAACATCACAGAACAAGGCACTAACATCATAGAACAAGGCACTGATATCACAGAACAAGGCACTGACATCACAAAAAAAGGCACTGATATCACAGAACAAGGCACTAATATCACAGAACAAGGCGCTGATATCACAGAACAAGGCACTGATATTACATATCAAGGCACTGACATCACATAACAAAGCACTGATATCACATGGCAAGGCACTGAAATCACAGAGACCTCACAGAACAAGGCACTGACATCACAGAACAAGGCACAGACATCACAACACAAGGCCCTTACATCACAGAACAAGGCACTGACCTCACAAAACAAGGCACTGCCATCACAGAACAAGGCACTGATATTACAGAACAAGGCACTGACATCACAGAACAAGGCACTGACATCACAGAACAAGGCACTGATATCACAACACAAGGCCCTTACATCACAGAACAAAGCACTGACATAACAGAAATAAGGCTCTGACATCACAGAACCACGCACTAATATCACAGAACAAGGCACTGATATCACAGAAAAAGGCACTGATATTACAGATCAAGGCACTGATCTCACTTAATAAGGCACTGGCATCACTGAACAAGGCACTGACATCACATAACAAGGCACTGACATCACATAACAAGGCACTGACATCACAGAACAAGGCACTGACATCACAGAACAAGGCACTGACATCACATAATAAGGCACTGACATCACAGAACAAGGCACTGACATCACATCCACCCAGACACCATATGTGATCACAAACGCCGCAAGCTGAGGGCAGGGCTAAGGTCCCGTGAGCCTTTCAAATTTATTTTAGGTCAGGTTAGGAGGTCAACCCACCGTTGTGGTAGGTTAGCCCACCGGGGTGGTTGTTCAGCCCATCCGGTAATTTTGCAAGGGGACTAAGAGGCTCCCTTTGATCATGAAAGGAAATCTTGTTTATACATTTCACATTATCTCAGGTGTGTTATATTTAATTGCCAGTCAGCATAATAATACCCCAAACAATAACAGAAATAATCTGCTAAACGGAAGGTAAAAATTGTGATATAACTGAAGAATTATGTAATATTTTAAACAGGTTAGTTGCGTATCCTTTAATGGACGTTGCAGAACCAACCTTAGCAGCCCCTGGCTGTTGTGGGTTTCTCTAGGCAAATTTACGTCCAGTAATTTGCCATTGCCACTGGACGGTCGGCTTCTTAGTACCACTGTCGAAACCAACGCAAGGCGCATGGCCCGCAGCTGGGATAGAACCCGGCACCCAGGGGGTTTCGAAGAGTTCACATCGACTTAGCCACAGAGCCGACAATATTTTAAACAAGTTATGTAAAAAGATAATTTATCTAAATGTTTAAGGGGACACCGTAATAACTGTGTGCTAAGAAAATGTGTCACTCGATTTGGTGTTGGTTTGGGGTGGTTGCTCATTGCTTCTCTGCTGATGTTCTCTTCGAAGTAGAGTGCCTGTCTGGGATAATGGTCAATGGGTACCATGGTAAATAATGATGACGTTCAGGATGATGTATTGCATCGTGGCTTATGTTTCTCTATTATTGTTATATTTTACTAGTTTTTGTTTGGTCACCCTCATGAGACTCAGACATGTTCTTCTTTTGCAGTCGTGTACGCTACAAACGCTAGAAAGCACCCGAACTACCTGTCTGGACAGTGGACAGAAGACGAAACACTACAGCACTTTCTCGACGGCCTGGACACTCCAGGAAGTCCTGACGGCAAAGTGACCAGACAGGTGACTATACGTGTTTGACATTTGAAGAATTGTTTGTAATTATGGATTGGTAATTTTCATCTTCTTATTTTCTTTTTTCCGATTGACGTAATTGCGTTGTGTCTGTTCACAGCATAGCTGTCATATTTGCTCTATTCGGCCGAAACATCCGACTTCATCAGGCATTTGTTCAGCTGGTTAGCCTTTACGGATAGTTTCGTGGGACATAAAGTAATAAAAAGTGAAAATCCCTTTTCACGTCTTTAGGCGCATCGGGCATATGGGAAAAGCTCCCATATTTATACAGACCAACTGGCACTAAGTGGGTAATGTTCGTGTGACATGACGTTGCATTATTTTTGTGGTGTCCCTTTATCTACATTTGTTGTCCCTAGAGAACCAGTCCAGAAAGAACGTGAATATACTGGCTGGGCCTCGGGGGTAGGCAAGGTCATGTGCATTCCTTGTCATCCAATGAGGCTTCCGTGAATGCAGAGCCGACTCATGATGCTCTTGACCTGGTATTACCCAAGGAATCGACACGTCCTGCATATGTCTGCTTATCCTCACCCGAATCATGAGTTTCCCACTTATCCCCTGAAGATCAGTAGGGAGCAGCGTGCAGGCCCAGTACTTCGATGACCACACAATTAAGCACATTTTTCGTAGACACTCTAGTCTTGTTGCATTCGGACTCTTTGTGTGACATTATAGGGAATGCATGCATCCTCCATAGCTTCCGCTCGATTAGTCCGACATAGCTTCCACTCGATTGGTCCGACACTCTGACCAGTGAGGTCAGTGTTAGCGGACATTTTAACCTTTCTGTCAGTCAGTTGGATAACTGACAGCCGGACATTTGGTCCCGTTACTCAGATAAGTCTGACCATTGGTAGCAAGCATTAGATCCTTGTGCCACTGAAACTCCAGCAAGAGATGTTATTTGTCTAAGCTGCGAACAAATCTCTCAGCAGTTTATGATCCTCCAAAAACTGACTGACGTACATTTCAGATGTTTATGTTATACCGTAGGCCACTCGACTGATGGGCATTAGAGCCAAAACAGCATTTCATAAAAACATTCTGTCGCCAGACGTTTGAAGCCAGATCTGTCAGATAGTTAGGATAATCAACCAACTTGCACTCACGTTATAGATGAGTTTTCAAGCCGACCCAGCCTTAAATGGGTACCAGGTAAAGTAATGGAAAGTAAATGCTGCCGGCGTGATGTTGAGCACATTTTTCACCGAGGGCCGATTGGTCAATAAAAAATAGATCAAGCCCTAATACGCCTGAAGCCGTGGAAAAGGGTCCTTTACCTACAAACGTTCAGGTACGTACAAGACATGACTGTTTTAATCACTTCACAAAGGATTTACCTTTACCCTCCAACAAATATTATATAGAAGAATGATGAAATACCCCAGACAGCCAAGATTAGTATTACTTCAGATGAGATTTTCCTGCATTGTGTTGTCTTAATGTATGTTGTTTTATCTTCCAGGAATTCATGAATTACTACGCTGAAGTGAGTGCTACAGTTGATGACGACTGCTACTTCGACATGACCATGAGAGCTTTGTACGGTCTTCCCGCGTTCAAAGCAAAGCAATGAAGGACAGAACCAACACCCAGCATAGGTCGCCAGGGAAGTAAACACGAACAGACTAGAACTGCAACCAAGCTGAATAAATCCATATAAGAGGGCAGTGGAAAAGACCTGAATAACAGAAACTCATCGTGATCGATATTGGCACCAACATGGAGAAAACATGGGAAAAGAAGGGGTGCCTTAAGACCAGAATGAAAGGGCCCTCAGAATAGGGGGCCCTTTGACTCAGGGGGAAGCCCTGTCCCATTACAAATGTTAGGGGTGGCGTGGGTAAGAACGCAAGGTACTTAGGCCTTATAATAATAATAATAATAATAATAATAATAATAATAATAATAATAATAATAATAATAATAATAATAATAATAGTGATAATAATAATTTTAAAAAATTCATAATAATATTAATATTAATAATGTGACGAATCTCATATAAATATGACAAAATGTTTGACATCTTTAAACAAATTTACTGGCCTGGTGTATATGAGGCTCGGTGCTCCTTTTGATTAATTCCTGTAAAAAAAAAAACCGATCTGTTTTCCGTATTGGATGATTTATTCAGTTTGTTAATTCAGTGAGACGCTATTATTTGGTTTCTACAATACTGCAAGCACAATTTTATTACGTGACAAGACTAGTTGAGAATGAACGCATTTAATCTCTCTCTCTCTCTCTCTCTCTCTCTCTATATATATATATATATATATATATATATATATATATATATATATATATATATATATCATCCTCATGCAGAATGTTGCTCTCATCACGGTCTGCCTGAAAGAAACTTGGTCTCTTGCCAGTTCTCCCGCCTCATGTACTTTTATACTTAAGGAGTCACTTATATCATGTGTCCATTTTCGTGTCGGTCGGCCCCTGCCCCTCCTTCCTGGTACCATGCCTTCTGCTATACTTTTTTTCCAATTCGTCGTGGCGCCTGATATGACCAACATATTTCAGCTTCCGAGACAGGATGCTGTTTTTTAGCCAATCTTCCTTGATATTCAGATCTTTCGAGATGTCAGTATTTCTCCTCATCTGTGTCCAAGATGATCTGACAATCTTTCTGTAGTGTTTCAGCTCAAAAGCCTCTATTCTCTTTCTTAAGGACTGAGAGATAGTCCACGACTCACATACATATGTAGCCACAGGGAAGATGCATGCTCTCAAAATTCTAATTTTGATCTCATTGCTGCTGCTTACCATAGAGATATATATATGGTAGGTGAACAGGCACACTTTCCAAGTACATTAAATTTTCAGTAGATAAATAAAAATTTGACAGAATCAAAGCAATGTTTTCTTTTGGTGAATAAAGAGTACGAAACACTGCACAATTATATTGCCTGGGATGTTTCGTTGTTTCTCATTAGTCACATATTGTAGAAATAAAAAAATGTGTTGTTTGATTTGTATTTCAGTTTAAATGTTTTTTCTTTGCCCAATGTAATTTTATTTTGTGAATTTTGCATCTAAAAAAAAAAATGGCAACTATAATCATCATCATAACCATCCCCCCTCCTCCTCATCGTCATCCTCAATATTATCATCAAGTGCCCTGCAGATAGAAATAGGCAGGTCTTGGTTACCCATCCTGTACGATCACCAGAATTATGGGTAAGGTCAGTGTGGTTGTCCCGCCTCATCTATGTGACGAAAGCCACAGGCATTAATCTCTTCGCAACTCCCCCCGCCTCCCGCTTCGACGTCTCCTTCTGCTCCCTTGCCGTCAGTCTAACCGATCGCCACTAACTTCATGAATCCAATCCTTGTCATAAGCGAAATCAACTAGGCAATCACTTGTACAGTGAGTTTATTATGACTTCTCTGCTAAAAAAACAAAAACAACAACATGGCAGATGCAGAACACGAGAAATAATATATTTAATTCGTAGATTTCAAGCTGTAATTAAAAAAAAAAAAAAAAACCACAATAAAACACACCCCCCCCCCCACCCCCCCCCCCCAAAAAAAATTTACGGCATAATGAGTATATGCTGCAAGACTGGTACTGTTACAGACTAAATGGAACTTGTATAGGCTTGTGTTCAAAATCACACTGACTGCCAAAATATTTTTTTTGTGGGGAAAAGGGGGGGGGGGCGTATTAATTCAGGGCTTTTTTATCAGACAGCCAAGGTCAATAATTTACAGTTACCTAATAAAATGTCTGCTTCAATTTCGATTTGAACTAAGATTTGAACATACCACTGCACCACCGTCTCTACTACTGAGTAGATTTTGACTAACACTACCAGATCACATGAACAAAGAAGTAGCATCTGATTATCCGAACCATTCCATTGTGCACGTGACATTACACTTTTGTTGTGAGATTTTTTTCAGATGTCGAATGAAGTTACTGTGCTAGCCGGAAGAAGGAAAAAGAGAAAACTTAGAAAAAAAAGAGAGATAGAAAAATAAACTTGTGGTTACGACAATAAGCAGTTCTCCGCTAAACAGCGAAAAACAGGACAGGTAGAGAAAAGACAAGGGTTCTTCTGTGCAGGGGCCATGAAATATGATCAAAGCCCTGACTAGAGATCTGTGAATAATTGTCTTACACAACTGCAACAACTGACCACAACTAGAGCTACATAGGCAATGACTAGTAGACTACGTGCACGAACCAAAAGTTATATCTTGAATCAAGCTAGTGAATATAACCATTACATTTAACGTCTGTTTATTTTACTGAACATAAAACTTACATGGTTCACAAATAACACTACATTAACAACCAGCATCTTGTTCACACAGGCCACGTCCTTGTTTTCCCATTCCATTTCTTTCATGTTTTAATGCTTGTTTTGTGATTCTCTGTCCGCTAATTTTTGTCCCAAGCTGAGTCCAATGTATCATCACCTTCCTTTTTAGAAAATATTCACGACAGAGCAAACACGTTAGACGGTGCTTATCACGAATCTGCCAGCACGGCGAGAGTTCCCTTCCCTTGGATACCTGACGCGACTGGTCGCACGGCTTGTCCTATGTTGTGAGATGTTATGTATTCATTATTTTTTAACAGTTTATTGTTGTCTCTTTTTTTTAGTGTTATCACCACTCACTTCTGTGATTATTTCCACGTTGTGCTACTTGCTTGACTATTCACGAGTATCGAAACTGCGAGTTTTGGTATTTCTACTTTCTTTGTAAGCGGCTTATTTTTTTCCTGGCGGAGAGGGGTGTGGTGGGGGCAGGGGGGGGGGTGGTGACATCGCCAAAGAACGTAGTAATACAAAAACAAACCAGTTTCGATACTCGCTAACAGTCGCACCTTTTGTGCTCTTCATTGTAGTACTTTTTTACTGCAACGCCTCAAAAAGACTCACGACAACAAAACCTCCAACAAACATTATATATGGCCAGCAAGTGTAGAACACTGCCACACACAAAAAAAAAATATATATATACAAGCAGTGCGAACAGCCAGGTCATGAATGGGAGGGATAGGAACTCTCGCCGTGCAGGCAAGTTCGTGAGAATGTTGCCAGAGGCTTTCTATCATCGAAAGTGGTAGGCCTCGCCAGACAGACAAAATTAATGAGAGAGAGAGAGAGAGAGAGAGAGAGAGAGAGAGAGAGAGAGAGAGAGAGAAAGAGAGAGAGAGAGAGAGAGGTGCTGGGTATATAACTTTTGATATCTGTGTTTGTCCTGACACCCCTTGGCCATGGGTCAAAAATAAGAACTATAATGATTTTATACATATATATATATAAGAATGAAACAGGCTTTAAGAAAAAAAGAAACAATAATATTTCAGAAACGTAAATATTATGGCCAATATTATCGACACATTTAACATTGCATGTGGCATAGAAAAAAAATTGCAAAATAAGCCACCTCTAAAACGTTTGTCTGAAAGCCTTGGGTTCGAATCGGCATGTGTAATACTACACTTAGGTCAGCCAGGTCGACTCAGTCTGGAATGAGTAACAAAAATGCCATGGACAGTAAAGGCGACTGGTGTGTTGCTTATTACATAACATATCTAGTACCGATGAGTCTATAAAATATATCTTTAGCACAATATGCCCGGAGCTTTAACAGGATGAAAAAGATAATTTCTTCTTCTTCATTTTCTTCAGCATTCCGAGCCCTTAAGGTTAATTGCTGCAGATAGACCTATCACCAGCCTCCACTCATCTCTCTAGCTGGCCTTGTCCAGTTAGTGACACCAAGTGTTTTCAGTTCTCTCTGGACATTATCTCTCCCTCGACTTCTTGGTATGCCTCCTGGTCTACGACCATTCAGCTCCCTTGTGTAAGCACTTTTTATCTCTCTGTCATCTGACATTCTTTAAGTTTGCCCCAGCCATTTCAGTCTATTAGCTCTCATGGTTCACGTAATTAATGGCGATTTAAACAGATTATGAATTTCGCTCTTGCTTGTCATTCTCCATTACACACTGTGTGTTATTATGTTATTTCCCGAAAGATAATTTACTCTGGATAATTCCCCAAAGAATCTGCAGAGACAAACCAAGATGGCTTCAACACTTTAAACAACACACACTGGAAATGCAAATGCATGGGGCTTTCGAATTGGCGAAGAAGAATCAATAATTTTGCCAACCGCGTGTAATGAAAGGCGTTCTGAAATGACTTACTACGTGATGGATATAGAATTCCAATGAGATGAATGCGATCACTCACAACGTTTTCTTCATGAACTCTTATTTTAGCGCGTTGAGTGTGTACGGAGAGACGGGAGTTTTGTTTTTACTCATCCACTAACTCTCTCACTCAGTCCCTCACTCAGTCCCTCACTCACTCACTCACTCACTCACTCACTCACTCACTCACTCACTCACTCACTCACTCACTCACTCACTCACTCACTCACTCACTCACTCACTCACTCACTCACTCACTCACTCTCCCAGTCAGTTCGACTTAATATGTTGTGTAACGGTAGTCAGATGTTGTTAATAATAATTTGCTGAATCGCTTATTGCCCAATTTCCTTTATGTTCAAAATAAGGTTACTTAAGGGTAT